TAGCTAGTCATTTTTATTTATTTATAAATTTTTCATTGTAAATACTTTTTAACAGTAATTTTTCGTCTCCATCACCTCAGTCGAAAACCACATTCAAGCACAGACATCAAAGAAAATCATTCATACTCTTTTCAACTAAGTTAAAAAGATTTATTTTTAAATACAGACCTTTTTTCCGAAAACAGACTACCAAGCAACGACACTAGTCCTACCTATTACCTAAATGTCGTTTGGCTAAAGTTAGTAATTCGTTTTATGGCAATTGCGTAAGGTTTTACAATAAAATACCAGAGTCTGTTATAAATCTGCTAGAAAAAAGATTTAATCAATCAATAATCAAATAAAACAATTCCTTTGCAAAATAGCTTACTATAAAATTGAAGAATTCGTTAACGATAATAATGTTTTTGTAGAAAAACTTAAAATTCATAGCACTCACAATATTATCTGATTGCACTAGAATGAGTGCGTAGCGATTTCTATGTTGATTATCGCATGCCTCTTACTTGTTATACTGTAATTATTTATATAAAAAAAAACATCTATTAAAAAGAACAACACACAAGTTTCTTGCTCATTCTTCTTGTGATGAATCTGCATTCCGAATGAGTGGTAGAATCAAACTATGACTATTCAAAAGTGCTTGTAATGAGTTTATTTGAATAAAAATAATTTCTATTTCTATTTCTATTGATTTTCTTGCCATCAATCGTACCTAGCTCTTCTATTTCTTTTGTTATATACTCCAGCCTGAAGAATAATACTCAATAACAATAAAATTGATCAACGAAAAAGGCTTTTGGTGGACAATAAACAATGACCTCGATATATCAGTGTTACCATATGAATAAATGTAATAATACTAATATTTGGCAATATAAAATCTACTCCTTGTGTTTGCGTTTATCTGTGATAAATAATATTCGTCTTTTTGCCTTTATTATTATTCAATCTTTTGTTTAATTCCATTGCCATTAGCATGTGTGAGACCATAAACATTCAGTGCGGAAATCTGACCCCTGCTACGACTTTCTCTATTAGTGATCAAATTCCGACCGTTATTGGATCTATGCCCAGTTTGCGACACGTGTTTCACCTCGCCTCTAAATGAGACATCATCAAGCAATGAAATGTTTGTACAGATATATCCAAACTCTATTCATTGCTTGATGATGAACCAGGAAGCCTAGTGTTGTCTGTTCGTGGACCAGGAGTCCAGTCACCAATACAGCCAATATGTAAAATTCTCGTGTCACAGATTTCGTGTTTATACTCCTCCAAAATGGCTTGACCGATTTTGATGGAGTTTTATATATATATTCAGTAGATCTAAGAATAGGTCTATAATTACTTTTTATACCCCTAAGAGTTAAGGGTGGCTTACCCCAAAACAATATAATTTATTTTTTTATTATGTAGTATTAAAAAAATACATACAAGTCTAAATTTCTCTCTATTTTACATTTTTAATGATGCAAGTTTTTTGCTCGTTCTTCTTGTGATGAGGCAGCTTACCGAAAGAGTGATAGATTAAAAAATAAGGATAACTATTCAAAAGTACTCAAATATAAGTTAATTTGTATAAAGAATTTTCTATTCTATTCTATTTTTCAAGAGATAAAATTATCAATTGCCCGCAGTACCATCCTCTTCCCGGCGCCATAAATGAATGAAAATGGCTTCCTAAAGCGTACCTAATACTTATTTACCACGCCATAAACTGCGTCATCAAAATCCGAACTATTATTCTTCAGGAAGATAGACATAAAAACTACCGTAGCAAATGGGTCGTCATAAATTTACAATCTCTCAGTTTGCGGTTAACGTTAATATCCTCGTATCCTTCATATGTTAGTGACTAAACTGAACACTGTAAAGATGGAATACTTACTTATATAGATTTTTTTTTTATTTGTTAGAAAAAATAATTTACCTCATGTTTTATTAATAAAGTACCTTTTACCCGCGGCTTCACTCGCGTTAATTTATCCCCTTAGGGGTGGAATTTATCAAAATTCCATCTTAGGAGATGCCTACGTCATAGTAGCTTCATATATGCAAAGTCTCAGCCCGATTGGTTTAAAATTGACAAGGTTTCTTACAAACTTTCATCACCTATTTATCCCCTTGGGGGTAGAATTAATCAAAATCCTTTCTTAGCGGATGCTTACGTCATAACATCTACCTGCATGCCAAATTTCAGCTCGATCCGTCTAGTGGTTTGGGCTGTGCGTTGATAGATCACTATGTCAGTCACCTTTGAGTTATATATATTTAGAAAAGAAAAATCAAATATTAAAACAACATATAATTATACCAGCCTAAATCAAAGATCGAACCCCTAGAGGTCCCCTCAGACTGAAGTCGTAATTGTCAGGCAGGAGTTGGCTTTCAGCTGGTCCATAAGTTCTTCCGCGTGTTTGGAGTGCCATCTGCAGGCCAGCTGCGGCCAGAAAAAAAATATGTTAGTGACTAAACTGAATACTGTAAAAGTGGATTATATGTTAAAATTACTGCATTTTTTTATATCTGTTAGAAAAAATAATTGTCCCTTATTTTATGAATAAAAATACAATTATAAAAACAACATACAAGTGGCCTAAGCCGCAGTTCGAACCCCTAGTTCTCCAGGAGTTGAGCATCAGCCGCTTCATAAGTTCTTCCACAGGTTTGGACTGCCGTCTACACTCATTTACAATCATTCGAAGCTGTAAAGGCCAGCTGCGGCCAACAGCATTAGAAAGTTCGAAAAAAAATTGTGAAATGACCTTCTTTTTTATTTGCATATACATTTGTAACCTTATGCAGTGGTAGATTAACAGAAAGTCGACTCATGCTCGGTGCTCTCTTACTAAAGTCGTATTTATTAGTCAGGAGTTGGGATTCAGCCGCTCCATAAGTTCTGCCACGGGTTTGGAGTGCCGTCTGCACTCGCCTCTATCATTCGAAGCTGTAAAGGCCAGCTGCAGCCAACAGCATTAGAAAGTTCGAAAATAAATTGTGAAATAACCTTCTTTTTTATTTGCATATACATTTGTAACCTTATGCAGTGGTAGATTAACAGAAAGTCGACTCATGCTCGGTGCTCTCTTACTAAAGTCGTATTTATTAGTCAGGAGTTGGATTCAGCCACTCCATAAGTTCTTCCACGGGTTTGGAGTGCCGTCTGCACTCGCCTCTTTCAATCGAAACTATAAAGGTCAGCTGCGTTAGAATATTCGAGAATAATAATACAACATTTTCTCCTTCACATTCAGCATTTCGGCCCTTCAGACGTTGTTATGTCATTCGAGGGCAAGTTTTAAATTTATAATAAGAGCTGAACAAATAATTTCCTTTAGGTATGACAAAGAAAGGTTAGGAATTAGGCGCGAAGTAATTTTTTTATAATTATGAATTAATCTTTGTACATCTTTTATTTGTATTTTTTTATAATTATGAATTAATCTTTGTACATCTTTTAAATTTCAATATAAAATATAGCCTGTGTTATTCACATGCATAAGCTATATTACAGTAAAGTTTCGTCAAAATCCGTTCAGTAGCTTTTGCGTGAGAGTAACAAACATCCATTACAAACTTTCACGTTTATAATATTTTAGCTAGCCACCCCTGCTTTGCACGAGTGTCCATGTATTATACATATAAACCTTCCTATTGAATCACTCTATCTGTGAAAAAAAACCGCTTCAAAATCCGTTGCGTAGTTTTAAAGATTTAGGCATACATAGGGACGGACCGACAGCTACAGCGACTTTGTTTTATACTATGTAATGATGATTAAGATAGAAGTACCTATAGAATCTTATACAGTGGTAGATTAATACAGTCTGCTCGTGTTCTCATTAAAAAAATATAAATTATAACACATACGTTCTCCAAACAAGTATTACATTGTAGACGTTTAAATCCATCTTGAGGATTACAGTTCATCCCGACTAATCCAATGCAAGCGTGACGCCGCACGAGAAATTTAACAACACACATTCAGCGACATGTACTTGGTAATACTTTACACATGTCGCGAGACTTTTAAGGAATTGGATTTATCCCGTATTAATCATTTAACCGATTTGTAAAAAGAGGTTATTTTTGTATGACTATACAAAAATGAATACAATTAGATTTTTAAAATTTTCTACGCTAAATAAATAAGTAAGCCTGGACAATTAACATAGCGTCATTTAGTCCCACGGTAAGCAGAGCTTGTGTTATGGGTACTAGATAACTGATACGAATATATAGAGAACATCCAGACTAATACAAAAAATCGTACTCATGAATACAAATGTTTGCACCGTGCGTGGAATCGAACCCACAACCATAGGAAGTAAAGCGGTGTGCTAAACCGCTAGACCACCGAGGCTGTCAAAAATTTTATTAGGTAGTGCTGCATACAACAACAAACGACAATCACAGATACTAATCGTCGGTAGTTCTAACTAGGATTTTGTTAATCGAACTGAAATAACGCACTTAAATTCATTCTCCACACTGTCTATTCCATTAACACGAGTTTCGGTTCACTGTCTTTAAGATTTTGAACTGTATTTATAAATATTTAAGATCGGTATTCATATATCTAGAACGTCAAAAGAATTAGCCAGTTCTATTTTTAAATGAGATGTCTTTTAGGGTTCTGTGTTTGAACAAAGAAACCTTTAATCTTTAATAGGTCCCTTGATGAGTGTAAACAAGACTTGAAACAACTGACTGCGTAGCTCAGTTGTGTATAAACATAACTAAGCTACGCAGTCGACTTTCTTTCAACAGCTAACAGATTTTGTAATGTATGGAATTGTAATTAGAACTCCTTCGAATCGTGACACTGGCTGATACAACACACTCTTAATTTGAATATTTTTTTTAAACTGAAACTCTTTATTCAAATACTTAAACTAATACATTTAGTATAGAAAAGTCTACCGCTCATTCGGAAAGCTATCTCATCGCAAGAAGAATGTATATAAACGTATAGTTCAAACGGTTTTTTTTCACAGTGCGTACCAGTTCCCGGCTTGGGGTTCCGTCGCGGCTCCTATAGGTGCCTGTGTCGACGAGGGTTCTACTTCCCAAACACCACAGCTGTCAACAGATACTATAACGGCAGTGAAATCGAAGAGGAGTATGAAAAACATATCCTGGTATGTATACCATTGGTTTTTAAGTCATTTATAATAACATGCGCACCTTATCTTTACTGCCATATGCTACATTTACATTCAGCCAGAAGTATTGTAAGAAAATTGTAAGAAGGATGTAAAGGGAGGGGACGCCCTAAGAAAAGATGGATAGATTGTGTCAAAGATGATATGAATAAAAGAAGAGTATGTTTAGACATGACGACCGATAGAGAGCAGTGGAAGAGAATGACATACTGCGCCGACCCCAAATAATGGGATAAAGGCAAGGCAATGATGACATTCAGCCAGAAGTATTGCCGGGCGACAACGGAGCGAGAGGGCTGAATGTAAAAGCACGCTGCCACTCGCGCTGCCAATCCTTTGACTCGCGCATGAAAAACCGACAATCGAGGGAGCGCCGGACAGCGCGAGTGGTAGCGCCAATGGCATGGGAAGTGTTTCCACTCGTGTTTACACTCTCGCGCTGCTCACTTCCCTGCCCATTCGGGCTGAGTGTAAATTGGGCATTACGATGGTCGTGGGTTCAATTTGCGCGTGATACCACGCATAAGTTGCAATTCTAGAGGACTATTATTTATTTATGTTTTCTATTGAGGATTTTTTGGCTATTGTCAGGTGTTAAGATATAGATATATACAGATCTATCGTGCTTGCCTTTTTTTTTCAAAATTCGTTAACCAGGCCCGTCAGGGACAAGAATTGAAAGATATTCCTCAGGTTTAACTCCTCAGGTTATAGTGTATAGTTTCCAAAGGAGATATTTCGGTTATGCATGAGTCGGTGTAGTAGCGTTTCCACTTCTGCCTGGCAGCCTCTGCAGAGGGCTAAGATGTGATGCGTTTTATTCTGTAATTTCACTGCTTTTCAGATAGATAAATTATTTATTCTCCAATTACACCCACATAACATTCCTGAGGTACAGAAAAAATACAGATACACATAAAAGAAATAGAGGTGGCTTTACATGTCGGAAAGCTGAATAGGGAACCAACTCAGCATATAGCTACAGATAAATCTGCAACGCTGATATTCTGTTGACTCTTTACTTATACAACTAATGTTTAATACTAAAAATATATATGTATATGTTAAATTTTGAGCTCTTTAATATGTGAATACCACTGTTAGGCAAATTGTAACATCTCGGCTCCTCTGGAGTTGTACAAAAGTGGAAATTAAAGAAATATAATAATATTAAAGTAAATTAAAAAAGGCACGGACGAATATGTCTGTGGAAAATTGTATTTAATTAAAAAAATAAAAAAAAAGTGAATGCAATTGCAAATTATGATAGAAAAACAATTTATATAATACATATTAAATTACAAATAATATGATAGATTCTGATATCTTACTTTATCTGAAACAAGCTAACATAAAGCAAGCTACTTAGTAGCTGAAATAGGTAAGACTGAAGTACCTCAGTCACTATGTACCCATGTAGACGGTATTCTAGTAGAGTCTACCTCAGTGGATATAAGTAATACAATATATATAGTCGCTGATTCGATTCCTCGCATAGTACAAACATTTGTATTCACGAGTACGATTGTTTGTATCTGGATATTTTCTACCTATATTATACATGGATTTACAAAATATTTATCTATATTTGTACCAGTTGTCTAGTACCTATAACACAAGTTCTGCGTACCATTTCTTTTTGGCCTACTCTAATGCTGTTGGCTGCAACTAGCTTTACAGCCTCACCGACGTTAGGGGGGCAAGTACAGATGGTACTTATAGAGTGGCTGAAGGCCAATTTCCGCCTGACGGATACGATTTAAGTCTGAGGGCACCGCTAGGGGTTCGAACCTGGCCGTTGTAATTTCGGGGATCGATTGAAGGGGCGACTGCATACCTTGGGAATAGATATGTAGATAGTCTAAGGTTACTATTAAGATAGATTTATCTTTTATACAGCTCCAAAAAACCTCTCGCAAAAAAAACCTCGATGCACGATTCCTATAAATGCTTATCCTGCGCTGAGGGTATCAGTTGTCTAGTATCCATAACCGAAGCTCTGCTTAGCTTGGGACTACATGCACTGTGTCTAGGGTCATTATTGATATAGATTTTTCTTTTACACAGCTCCAAAAGAACCTCTTCTCATTGCACGATGCCTTCGAATGCCTGCCCTGCGCTGAGGGGTGTGAGGCCTGTGTTGATGGGTCACCTTGCGTCGCCGCCCTCAATTGGGTAGTGAGGACTACAATCTTCGCCTTAGCCTGTCTGGTTATCACATGCCTTCCGTTTATCGTATACTTCACTATCAAGTACGGTCATGTTAGGGTAAGTATATTTATATGTTGATACATTATGAGTGGGGCGGATATTTGTACCCGTTCCGAAGATTGCCACTTATAAGCAGGGTAGTTACTAGAATTTATTCCGCACATTGCCGTTTAAAAGTGGAGAAAGTATTAAGTACCCGTTTAAAATAAGTAATTTTAAGTGACACAAGGGAAAAATATATATACATAAAATATTTATATTTATTAATGCGGGTACAATTACTTTCCCCGCTCATGTGTTAATACTAGCTGACTCCGCAAACACGGTTTTGCCATGTTAATTAAAATCGCTATTAAAAACTAGCTAATGTTAGAAGAGTTAAAGTTTAGGGTTGTATGTGTTTTTTAAAGTCACATTAAAAAAAATGTTCAATAAATAAAAAATCAATGTTAGGGGTGGACAACCCTTAGACAATCATTGTATATGAAGAATAGATAGTAGCCGATACTCAGACCTACTGAATACGCATATAAAATTTCATAAAAATTGGTTACATTGTTATAAGTTCATACTATAGTTCCATTTTGACTTTACTTTTAGGAAAGTATGAAGTAGTATTTTTCAAGTGATTATTTAAAAAAAAGCTTTAAATAATAAAACATAATCATAATCATAGTCATCTATATATATATAACTCAAAGGTGACTGACGTAGTGATCTATCAACGCACAGCCCAAACCACTGGACGGATCGGCCTGAAATTTGGCATGCAGGTAGATGTTATGACGTAGACATCCGTTAAGAAAGTATTTTGATTAATTCTACCCCCAAGGGGATAAAATAGGGGATGAAAGTTTCTATGAAACAACAATTTTAAACCGATCGGGCTGAGACTTTGCATGCATAAAGCTACTATGACGTATGCATCCTCTAAGAAAGGATTTTGATAAATTCCACACGCGGGCAAAAGTTAGTTTATTCTTAAGACAATAATACAATTGTGTTTGAATATAAGGACAATTTAACAGAAATATTGATCTAAACTATATATTTTTTAGTAACCATAATATTAATATATGTCACATGCCGTTAATATGAAATTTGTTTCAAAATCTACCAGCTTTAAAGATTAAGCATTGTTGTATAGAACGGTAATCTTGTGATTAACTGAACAAGTTGTGCACGCTCGCTCTAAGCCGTAAACTAGACCCTTCTTAGGCAAAGCTGTTCATCCGTCTATTAGCGAAAGTCAAGAGCTACTATCCTCAAGATTAACGCCCTTTGCATAGTACATGATAAGTAGATATTTTCATTGTATACACTTCGGTAGTTTTACGCAGAACTTCGTTAATATTCTTTAAGAGATACAGTGAGCGGCTTCATTCAAGATTGATGTGCATAAAATGTAGCCGGCAGCTTCCTCGTCCTAAATCTTACTAGCTGTAGGTACCCGTGGTTCCATCAGCATGTGATTTATACCTTATATGTTATTTTCATGTATAATGTATTACTAAAGTTTTATCAAAATCCGTTCAGTAGTTTTTACATGGTGAAAAGTAACAATTATCAATTCATTACTCGCAAATATTCGTGTTTATAATATTAATAAGATATATATATTTTATGTATAATACAAATTTTATGTCAGTATTTTGAGAAACTCTTTTAGCACGCTTAGATACATTTTTACTTAGATTATAAACATGAAAGTTAAGTTATTTATCTCTTTGTATCATATCACATCATCATGAATAAATATATATAAATTTATTATTACAATTTACAAAATATTACAAATATACAAAGAGGTAAATAACGTAACTTTCATGTTTATAATCTAAGTAAAAATGTTAGATACATTTTTACTAGCGTCCTGAAAGAGTTTCTCAAAATAATGACAAAAGATTTGTATTATACGTGTAATTTCATTAATATATAAAAAAATATAGGTATATTAATTTTACACAACCTGTTTATGTGATTGTCTATATGTTAAATAATTTCAAAATTAATCAATTTGTGTTTGCATTACAACACAAAATCAAATCCTTTCCAATTTACATTTAACATAGGTTCTCTATGTTATTGTAAACATGTACAACATTTATTTGAAAAGAATACGATCTAAGATGAGAAGAAGTCGCAACACTTCTTCTCATCTCGAAATCATAACTGACGGTAGATTAGCCATATCATTAGAGTTTATAATAGACCTACATGACTAAAGATATTTTGAAATTAGTCAACACAGAGAAACTCGTAGTATACTTTCCATAAGTTATATATATTCTTTATTGCACTTAAATACAGTTGTAAACTTAAACATATACAGAGTGAGCAAAGGTGGACTTATCTCTAAGAGAGATCTCTACCAGTCAACCCAACAGTGTGGCATAGCTAGTAGTGAGTAGGTAACACCTGTGCAATTAACTATATTATGTTGAAATGTCCAAAAGTTGAGAAAAATAAAACATTTAAAATTCAACAAATTAAATAAAGTTCTAATTATATTATAATTATAATAAAATATACAATAATAAATAAAATAAACATTAATAAAAGTTATATATATATACATTCTACAATTACTATAGATATCTACATATATTACACAAAATACAAATAATAAAATACATGATGAAACTAATCATACTAAGGTCGATAAATAGTGTGATTTCAACCTTTTCTTAAAACAACCAGTTGATGGACTTTCCTGTATCTGTACTGGTTATTCTTCTGTCCTTCTATCAACATGTTCTCTTTTAGGTGGTCCGAGCTGCAAGCCCTGCACTCCTCAGAGTGATAGTACTGGGCGCTCTCCTGATATACTGCACAACGCTGGTCATGTACGGCAGACCTACAGTCTTCACTTGCACCGCGAGGGTTTGGTTACGGGAGGTGGGCTTCTGTCTCACATATGGAGCCCTGATGCTGAAGACTTGGAGGTATTTGTTATTAATATAGTAATATTTGAGTGTAATATCACGCGACTTCGTTCACGCAACTCACGAAATGGAAGCCGTCGAATAATTTATAATTTTCCCCATATTTGCAACATTTTTCACTGATGCTTCGCTTCTATTGGTCGTAGCGTAATATTATATAGTTTAAAACCTTCCTCGACAAATGCACTATCTAACACAAAATGAATTTTTCAATTCGAACTAATAGTTCCTGAGGTTAGTGCGTTTAAACATTTCATACAAACAAACAAACTCTTCAGCCTTATAATACTTGTATATATGAACTTGACTTGATACTGGATACGTACAACAATAATACGTTAATACTTTAAAAAATATTTATTCAGATAAATATTTTTAGCATACTAAGTCAAATTAAAAAAAAAATATTCTGTTTATACTTTTAGTGCTGTAATAGTGCGATAACCTTTAATTAAACTTATTTTTATGAACATATTTTTGTTATTATTTGTATTTCGCTGTATGTTTTCAAACAAAATATTCACATCATTATGTAATGTATTGTTTTTTATTTATTTCCAAATCAGCGGCCTGTCTGTTAATTTCATCTATTCTTAATATTTTAATTACAATTTTCTTTTTTTAACACTATTATGGTCTTCCGCATTATTATATATTATTACAATTAACATCAAATTAAAGCTTAATAATTTAGACCAAATAAAAGCTAAAAAATAATACTAAAACAACAATATATTCAAATTAAATTAATGTCAAAATAAATAGTAAATAAAACTAAATATATCATATACTCATTTAATTATTCATATAATCAGTATGTTATATTATTTTCATCACATACTCACTACACTACTGTAAACGAAATCAAATTAAGTAAATCTTAAGAGACTTCGAGTGACTGTTACATTACTTTCAAAATCAAAAACTACACATTTGAGTATGTTTTGCAAGGAAAATAACAGTCTCTCAAAATCTGTTAAGTTTTACGTTATCTACTACGTCAGGGAAAACAAAATACAAAATATTCGACGTTCATAAGCGTCTAAAATGTCCTACATTAATAAATTATATTTCATTGGATAACTATGGCTATAAATTAAAATATAAAATATATATTATTTCTTAACATAAAGAAAAAGGTATGCTCTTAATATTTGTTTAAAAATGTAAACAGCTCGCTTTATAACGTAATTCTCAACAAGTTTAAGTTCTCACAAATTAAGTCAAGAGTATAATAAAATCGTAAAACAGCCATGTCTGTATGTACATTAAACACCAAAATTGTATAATTGTTTAAGAGCTCGAAGTGTGATACATAAACATTCACGTATATATATATATGATACGATATACGATATTGAAACCTTCAAGAATAGAGCTTATTCCTTTTTAAAAGGCCGACAACGTACTTGCAATTCTCCTGGTGTTGCGAGTGTTCATGGGCGGCGGTAATCACTTACCATCAGGTGAGCCGCATGTTCGTTTGTCCCCAGTATTATAAAAAAAAAATATATATTTAATTTTATTATATATTTAATTATAGAAGCCAACAGAATATCAGCGCTGCAGATTCATCTGTAGCCTCTTCATCATTACGACATATAAAGCCACCTCTATTGTTTAATTTCTAACATTTATATTTCTGCATTATTAATTTGCAAACTTTATTTCTATTTACAAAATATATCTCATGTATGCTATATGTTTGTAATTGTTGAATAAAGCATTTATCTATCTATCAATATGAATTTGTACGTTCATGGAAACTTATCTCAAAATCGGTCCAACTATTATGTCTCTTTCACTCTAATCAATTCACGTACAAAATAGTTGGTGAGAAATATTGTTATGATGAATACCTTTCGTGTAAAGTCACGAGCACAGCGGTGTATATAATATAATCCTAATAGCTGCCTTTACACGATACGTTCATTCGCGCGCGATCCGAAACGCGCATGTTTTAGCGCGGGAAAGGAAGACGTATGTCACTCACTCACGTATGCGCACGTGAGTGAGTGAGTGAGTGATTGCATTTTACTATATTTTGTGTTCACTCTTTCACGCGTAACAGCACATATGCTTTATCTCTTTTCAGTTAGCGTGTGCATACGTGAGTGATTTTATGTTCACTCTTTCGCGCGTGATAGCGCACATATTTCATCTCCTTTCAGTTTCATTTAAATTATTCATTTTTCGACGGATTTATTTTCCAAAGTCTCATTGAAGATTAATAAATTTTCACGCGCTATCAGAAGTACGTGAGTGATTTCAAATAACTATTTTTAAATTACTATTTTACACTCTTTCTTTTATTCTTTTTTCGACGAATTTATTTTCCAAAGACTCGATTAAGATTGATTAATTTTCTCGTGCTTTCAGAAATGCGTGAGTGATTGCATTTAACTATTTTTTGTGTTCATTCTAACGCGCGTGATAGCGAATATGTTTGATTTTTTTTCAGTTTCTTTTAAATTATTTTGTTTTCCTCAGATTTATTTTCAAAAGACTCGTTTAAGATTGATAAATTATCAATAACTCTATTATTACGTCTTGATTGGTTAGACGTCCGCCATTTTGTTAGAATAATTACTTATTACAAAAAGGTGCTAAATACGCACGATTGATGGAATGCGCCCGCCTGCGGCGCCTTTCTAGTTCTCTTTGTTACATTTCATACACACTCTTTCTCGCATAAAAGGCGATTCGCGCATAAAAGAGCTTTCGTGTAAAGGCAGCTTATGACTAACAAAATAGACAGAATATGAAGAAAGCTCGAGTTAAATATTTATCCACGTGATTTGAAATTGAACTTGATAAAGACAAATATTTGGACACGGCTCGGCGCCGGAGGAGTCATTGTAAATGACCTGAGAGCTCCACTGTTTACTCGACGTTTTCAGTATTTTGTTATGCATTATTAAAGCTTTGTAACTTAGTTAACAGTCGCGGCTTAGGCCGATAGATCGTGAGTTCGTATCTGACCGGCGTTAAATTAAATTTCTGAGATTTTGATGGTAGAACTAACAAAAAATTAAATTAATATGAGTAACATTGGTAGGTTCGCTCTGTGTCATGTTGGTTTTAAAAATATTTGTTATATATGTAAATATGTATTGGTTTATATAATATATAATATTGTTTTGTATGTAAATGTAATTGCAAATTAGTTGGGCTCCATTCATAGACATCTCTAAATATTACATACTACATGTTTTTTTTTTTGCCATACAAGAATATTAATAGGACGCCGTGCCGCTTTTGGCTATCAAGTTTGTGTACATGTACATGTGTACAATTTAGATAGATAGATAGATAAATTATTTCTTTGGCTATATTTCTTTTTTAAAAAAATAAATATACATAAAAGTAATATATATGTGTCGAGACCCTTGGTCCGTGGGGTCCTAGCACTATAAGACTTTTCAAAGAAATAACGAAAAGGTTAGTCGACATCACAGAAGACCGAAGAGCTGGCAGCTACCTTGGACAAAGAATTAGTCTAGCTATTCAAAGAGGGAACGCCAGTATCTTCGGAACCTTACCTAAAGGGACCCCTTTTAATAATATATTTTAGTCATCATATTATATATTTTTTTTTAAGCTTTTTAATTTTAGGTTCTTAGTTGTACAATTAGGTTATGTAAATACTATTAATAAATATGATCAATATATATGAACATAAGCAAAGTTGTATAAAAAAAATAGAAAGAACGTGAGGTAGGGTGTTGAAGTGCTAGATCATGTAGATCTACACGCTGCTTTCTTGTTCTCTTATTGTGATCAGCCTGCTTTCCAAATGAGCGGTGGAATAAAAAAAATATATATATTATATGACTATACAAAAATGTTTATATTAAGTATATTTTATACAAAATAGGGTTATATTTATATTTTAATTTATTACTAGAAATTATAAATGAACTTATATATCAAACTAAATATAAATATACATGTACGTATGTCATTTTATTCTGTCACTCCATATCATTCCAGTTGGAAGCTTATTTTTTGTATTCCAATATAATATATTCAACATATTTGAATAAAAATAATTATATTTTTTATTGACGCCCTCGGTGGTCTAGCGGTTTAGCACACCGCTATACTTCCGATGGTCAAGGGTTCGATTCCTCGCACGATGCAAACATTTGTATTCATGAGTATGATTGTTTGTATCGGTCTGGGTGTTTTCTATGTATATACTTACAAATAAAACAAAAGTATTTATATCAATTGTCTAGTACACATAACACAAGCTCTGCTTAACGTGAGACTAGATGGCGCTGTGTTAATTGTCTAGGGTTTTTTATGGAATAGAACACAATAGAATAGAAAATCAACTATTCAAATAAAGTTATATTGAAGTACTTTTGAGTAGTCACCATATCTTTTATCAATCTACCGCTCATTCGGAAAGCTGTTTCATCTCTTAGCGAGCAGTAAACTTGTGTGTTACTCTTTTAAATAATTTTGTTGTTACATTTTCAAATTAAACTGTGTGAATACAAACTTTCAACTAGCATTTATTTGTAACTAGCTACTCACCCCGGCTTCGCGCGGGTGTACATTATTGTGTGTATACATGTATTATATATATAAACCATCCTCATGAATCACTCTATCTATTACAAAAACCGCTTCAAAACCGTTGCGTAGTTTTAAAGATTTAATCCTACATAGGGACGGACAGACAGCTACAGCGACTTTGTTTTATACTATGTAATGATTTATTCTATTTCTTGTCTCAGTTTAAAGGGTAGTATATGGTACTGAAATTACAGAATACTTCACCACTAAAATCGTTGTTACATTTATGTTCAATTCCCTTTGTAACAAAATTTATCTAGTTACGAGTATATAAAATAAATGTTTGGCTATACAACCTGAACTCAAAGGGAATGTTCTCGAGTTTCGAATTATCTGAATAATAGAAAGGATATTGTCAAATGGAAAAGGAAAATAGTACTAATAATTTTTCTATTAGGAATATCTATGATGCTCGGATAGGGCATGTCCCATGCGGCCGGTATAGTTCAAAGACGTCATGTTTATATCGAAATGAATAGAGGAAACATCCACTCATTTATTGAAAGTTTTTTTTTTGTAGACATCACATTTTATTAGCCAATATCTGTAAGGCGAAATATCGCGATTCTCCTATACTTATTACTTTCCAGTCTCCTCTATAACAACCACGTCTATGTTAGCTATATAGACGTATTTAAAGGTATATATAAGTATACATGTGACAATTATAGGTGTAATATGTTTAAATTTCATTAATGTTTATTAATTTAATGAATACATATAAATAAAATTGAAATGGCTGTCTGTCTGTCTGATGTCGGATCCATTCGTTTTCAAAAATAAATCAATTAAAGGTATCTCGTTTTCATCCTATGAGTTATCACGAACGCACGTTGTACACGCAATTTGCGAATATAAATAGAACTACCCACGTATGTATGTAATATATATATATGTAAATATAAATATATATGTAAATACGAGTTTATTCTCATATTATTTTTTGTATAACAAAAATCCGATAGGAAAAGGGTTTGATTCACGGTATACGCTTGTATAAAATCAAGGTTCTGGAGATCAGAAGCGTTTTGTAATAACTATGAATACAAATGTTTGTACAGTGAGAGGAATCGAACCTGCAACCATCGGAAGTAAAGTGTGCTAAACCTAGACCACCGAGGTCATTAAAAGACAAATATTTGGTAATTAAAGACAAATTAATGATAATGTGTAACGAGATATGTTTTATTCTTCTCTCTTGTTACCAGGATATCGCTGATCTTTTCTGCCTTGCCAGAATATTAATAAGTCCCCGTGCCACTTTTGGGTACCAAGTTTGAGTACATGTATGACCAGACAGCCTCGGTGGTCTAGCGATTTAACACACCGCCTTACTTCCGATGGGCGCAGGTTCGATTCCTCGCACAGCACAAACATTGGCATTGATGAGTATCATTGTTTGTGTCGGGCTCGGTATAGGTGTTTACTAGGTAAAAAACTACAAAAAAAATATCTATGTATTTATCAGTTATCTCGTACCCATAACACAAGCTTTAGCTAGCTTTACTTGGGACTAGATGGCGCTATGTTAATTGTCCTGAGATTTTTATTATTATTATTATATGTATATAATAATAATAAAAACAAATATAATATAATTTGACTGTATTTATTTTTGTACATAATATTCCAATTAAATAAAACAACCCATTCTACGTCATCTGAAATATGAGGTAGGGTTTTTTACCACTAGACCATACAGACCAACACGCAAGTTCATTTTTCTCTCTTGTTACCAGGATATCCGTGATCTTCCAAGTACGATCAGCAAAGGCCGTGAAGATATCCGACATGTATCTACTGCGGCGGATTGGGATTATAGTTGGTGTGGCATGTGTTCTACTGTCCATCAGGACGTTAGTGGCTCCACCAGCCGTCATAGTGGGACGCACGAAGGAAGACTTGAAGGCATATTTATGTAACACAGATTGGTGGGATCATTCATTCACTACGCGTAAGTAAGAATCTATATAACACGTGAAGCATCTCCTCTCATCGATCTCCCGATCAATTCAAACGGGGATCGAAATTACGACAGCATGTGCCATCGAACTCCTAGTGGTGCCTTCAGATTAAAGTCGTATCCGTCAGACGGGAGTCAGCCTTCAGCCGCTCCATAAGACCTTCCGCGGGTTTGGAGTGACATCTGCACTCGCCCCCTATCGTTCGGTGACGCTGTAAAGGCCAGCTGCGGCCAACAGCATTAGAGTAGTCGGTAAAAAATTAAAAAGTAAAAATGTAAAGCAAAAACTTTGCACCCCTTTTTATGAAAAATGCACGGACGGAGAAGTATGAAATTTCGCACAGTTATCCTGATGTTAGGACTGTCTTTTATTGTTACTATATGTTTATATAAGAACTTTGAATACATTTTTCTCGAAGAAAATATACGGTTTCAGGGAAAGTTGTAGAAGAAAAGTTGTTCAGTACCATGAGTACTTTCATTTGCTTGTGGCTACTAACGTGGGATTTTGTTATAAGGACTTCAGAACCACCGATTTGAGAAATTATTTCACTGCTTTAAAGATATATTAATCCAGAGAGACATATAATTAGGATATATGTTAGTATAATATATATAAAACATACAATGACCAGGATAACAATGATCTTTCTTGCCATGCCAGAATATTAATAAGTGCCCGTGTCACTTTTGGGTACCTATGTATTTATCAGTTATCTAGTACCCATAACATAAGCTTTAGCTAGCTTAACTTAAATCTAGATGGCGCTGTGTTTATTGTCCTTAGATTTTTATTATTATTATTATATGTATATGTGTATAATTTGAGTGTATTTCTTTACATACAATGAAGCCGGGGCGGAGTGCTTGTTTTATTTAGTATAAATTTTTATACGTAAATATAAATAACTAGCTGACTCGCGCAACATCGTCTGCGTTACACCTTCTTGACAAATGAAAAATTTTAAATGATTTACATTTAAAATTTTCATATTCACTCAATTAACGTAATATCTTTATAAATTATAGCCTATGTTTGATTCTTATGAATAAGCTAAATTACTGTAAAGTTTCATCAAAATTAGTTCGTTAGTTTTTGTTTGAAAGAGTAACAAACATCCATCCATATTTCTACCTTATAATATTAGTAAGATTAAGTATAGATCTAATAACATTTTCAAATTGTACGCCTATTTTTTCATAGATAGGTTCATTATCAACTATTTGACGTTTGAAAATATTGAGTTCTATATCGGTTAGACCTAATATAATATATAAATATATTTAATTAAATTAATTAATAATATATAGGATAATTATCATTTTAAGCTCGTAAGCCAACGCCAGTCTTATACTAATATCCTTTGAAATTCTTGCCAATAAATTATTCCTCTATATTTTGTTTGCTCACTGTCTTCAATCTAAACTAACTGGGTTTATTACGAACCAATTTGTTACTTCAAATTTGCTAAGCAAGTTTATATTAAACAAGTTTCTTAGTGTGTACTAATAAATCAGCCGGGTAGTACCTGTGTTTAATTACAAAGCTATGTAATTAGCGCTGAGAAATTACACAGGAAAATAAAACATTTGAATGTAGAAGAACGAAATTACTAGAAAGAATTTGTACTGAATCGTGTGAATTTCTATTTTTTTTTTTTACATAAATAACAAGTAGAAGAAAGAAATTACTAGATGGACAATTTATATGAAGTCGTGTGGACGCAAAGCAACTCCAAATTTTTTTACATAAATAACTATAGAAAATCACAAAGTAGAAAACACGAGACTAAGTCAAGTTTATGTTGTTTATAATAGACACTGTTAATAATACATAATTATTTAATGGATTTGTATTATTTTTTTAATTCCGCATCCCATTAGCATGTGCGTGACCACAAGTATTCAGCGCGGAAACCTGACCATTGCTACTGGAAGCGTTAAGACCTTCCCCATTAGTGATTAAATTCCGACCACTATCAGATCTTAGACCACATTCTTACCAGAAGCGTAATAGAACCCATATTACGATACTGGTTTCGCCTCTAAATGAGAATAATTTGTCGTGTGGACGCAAGGCAATTTCTATTTTTTTTTACATAAACAACACTACAAAATCACAAAGGACAATATACGAAACTAAGTCAAGTTTATGTTGTGGATAATAGACACTGTTAATAATACATGCGTGATATTGCATCTCTGTGCATTTTCTACCGCATATATCACGAGGAGTGTTCTGAAGAATTGTTCGGATTAATACCAGCTGCTGAGTTTCACCACCGTACCACCCGCCAGAAACTGAAATACCAGCCTGATCATCTGGATGAATGGCGGTCTTCCACAGTGCGGTTTTCTAGAAACTTTTTGCCTCGCACAACCACATTATGGAATCACCTTCCAGCAATGGTATTTCCGAACCGATACGATATTGAAACCTTCAAGAAAAGAGCTTATTCCTTTTTAAAAGACCGACAACGTACTTGCTATTCCCCTGGTGTTGCGGGTGCCCATGGGCGGCGGTAATCACTTGTCATCAGGTGAACCGCATGCTAGTTTGTCCCCTGTGTTATAAAAAAAAATACATAATTATTTAATGGATTTGTATTTTTTTAGTTTAATTCCGCTACCATTAGCAAGTGCGTGACCACAAATATTCAGCGCGTAAACCTGACTCATTTCATGACCCTTTTCTGACCACATTCTTACCAGTAGCGTGATAGAACCCATATTACGCTACTGGTTTCGTCTCTAAATGAGAATCATAAGGCAATACATAGAGTTTGAATATGGTTTCGAAGCCTAGTATTGTACGGCGACCAGACTCGTAATCTATTATTTTGGAATTCAACAAAATAATACAAATCTGCTAAGTAGTGAAATAGACTTCCGCTAAATAAAACCTAATTACATAAAATAAATAGTACTTAAGTAAAGGTTATATTAAACAAATAAATACAACGCCGTCCAGTATTGTTATGTTAGCGTTTTATTCGCATTATTTCTAGTTTTTCAATATTGTTAATTAAACTAAGTCCTGTGAGATTCATTAGGGAAAATCGAGTATAACTTGAGTCTAAATTTAGCACAGAATTTCAATAAATATCAGCACAAGAGAGGACCTAACGACGGCAAGAGTCAGGATCTCGAGCGCCATATTCAAATTGAGCTGTTAACCTTAGAGAATCTACAGACGGTTTAAAAATCGTTTGCGATATACGAGCACTGGCTCACTAACTTCCTATACTCGTGTGTAGGCATTTTTTTTCTTTCTATGTTCTCAAAAGAATTCGGTATTATAATTTAGTTATGAGTCACATATATTCTTTAATTTTTTTTTATATGTATTGTTGTAAAATTTTACGCACGATAAGATATTATTTCCCATCACAGTCTATTCTTATCATCTATTTTTTCTTGTTATGTTTTCAAAATGTCGTCCTATTCTCCCCATCACGTTATCTGACAACTAGTCCATTGTTACGAATTCAACACGAAATAAACTTGATGATATCCAGGGGGTCGCATGGAAGTCGATCTGACAGTTTATTGCTAGCCTAAGCCTAATAAGGGCCAGGTAGTGCCCTTATTTTCTTATACTATAAACGTCGCTAAAATGTCCTACATGAATAAATGTCGGTCACACCCTGGCTCTTATTCGCCTACACTAAAAAACGCGCCAAAAATATCTTACATGAATAAATAATCGAAGCAGCACCCTAGATTGCTTGCTAGATCAGCTGGCGTTAGAGAAAAAAAAACAAAAAGCTTGACTTTCACACATGGCTCAAATGTCCTACATATATGATGAAGTCATATATGTACGAAGTACTAATTATGATGGACGACTGAGGCTTTGAAGCCGGCTACCGCAAGGGAAACCCCAAGTAGCGCCCGTGACTTGTGACACGGGTGTAGGTTTAAAAGGCCGTTTTAGAATGCATTAGCACTCACCTTCACTACTTGTAGCTTCCCCCTAGGCCCAACTAAGACCGGGATAAACCCATTGCCAATACAATTCACTTTAGTATCCAAAACACAACCGGCACGCTCTGCACTCGTCGACTGAATGCCGCGGCTCACCCAACCAAAGAGGACTATTCAACTACCGACCTCCGTATTTATAGACCAAAGTCAGCGTAGTAGGTTGGTCTATAAATACTAGATGGCGCTATTTACAATATTCGTAATAATCCTTATATTGGGTATTTCATTAGTACTAAAAACAAACTACCTTCTTTTAATATATTTTTAAATATCGGATTTTTTCTACAATAATTATGTATATAATTAGTAAAAATCACGGGATCTTACCACGTTTTATATTTATTTGCTGAGGTCCCGATATTTCGGTAGTGTTTCAACCACCATGATCACGGGTAAACTGATCGGGACCTCAGCAAATAAATATAAAACGTGGTAAGATCCCGTGATTTTGACTAATTATACGTATAAATAATGACCGCGTCAAGTTTAAAACAGTGAATAATGATGTGAATTCTAACATATATATGATGATGATCAATCATAATAAATGATGAAGTAAGACAATTTTTTTTTTCTCTAACGCCAGCTAATCTAGCATGCAATTTAGTGCGCTGCTCCGATATCACATTGATTTTCGGGTCGTGTATAGAGCCTTTAAGTTCACACCTCAGCGAACAACAGCATTTTTAAAGGGGGAGGAAATGAAACTTGAGTACGTACCCTTATCTACGGAGGCAGTATTGAATGATTAATTAACAACCCCCTTAGCTAAACCTTTTCAGATATTCAAGTCGCCAATACACTATTCAGCTGACTGAAAAATAGGTACTAAATTAATATTGAATATTTTGTCCGTAATTTTTTAACATTTTAATTTTGATTTTTTTTCATTATTCTAAAAAATATATTTTTTTTTTAATAAATATTTAATATTTTAATTATTTATTGCTATTGGCTATTTATGTAAAGATGCCTGATATTTAGCCTGCATTTTTTTTTATTCTCCTGCCAATAATGATAATTTATATTATTATTACGAATGATAATATTCCCGTCCATTTGTCTGTTTGTTACCTTTTCACGACTATACAGTTGAGCGTAATGAATATTAACCTGAAGATAGAGTTATTACGAGAAAGGATGTAGGCAATGTTTTATATCGCGCATATCGAGTTGATGGTATAAGGGTGAAAATTTAGGGTTGTATTTATTTTTTATTCCAAATCACAGAGAAATAAATTAAAAAAAGAAAAACTGGCAAAAATAGAAAAATAGGTGACACTACCCTTATTACTTAGGGGTATGAAAAATATTTTACGTCCTATTCAATCTTTTATTACACCTACCAAATATATATACAAAATTTCATAAGAATCGGTCTTATCGTTTCGGAGGAGTTTTGTTACAAACACATACATATATATTTTGACGACCTCGGTGGTCTAGTGGTTTAGCACACCGCTTTACGTCCGATGGTCGCGGGTTCGATTCCTCGCACGGCACAAACATTTGTACTCATGAGTATGATTATTTGTATCGGTCTGGGTGTTTTCTATGTATATTATGTATATATTTACGACAAAAAATATATGTATTTGTATCAGTTATCTAGTACCCATAACACAAGCTTTAGCTAGCTTAACTTGGGAACTTGGGTCTAGATGGTGCTGTGTGAATTGTCCTGAGAGTATTATTATTACATAAGAATTTTATATGAGTATATCTTATTATTATAAACGCGAAAATTTATGAGTATGAATGGATAAATGGATGTATATTACTCTTTCACGCAAAAACTACTGAACGTATTTTAATGAAACTTTGTAGTAATATAACCTATATATTAGAATAACAAACAGCCTATAATTTAAATATATATGTATCTTAATAATATTAAAAACGCGAAATTTTGTGAGTATGGATGTTTGTTACTCTTTCACGCAAAACTTCTGAACGTTTTTTGATGAAACTTTACAGTAATATAGCTTATGCATCAGAATATCATGTAGGCATTTATTATTCAAATTTAATACGAGTGAAGCCGCGGGCACAGCTAATATTAAATATTATGTAAATTAAATAAATATTATGTAAATTAAATGCATTTTAATTGCACAAAAGATTATGTGAATTGGGCGATATATGATATATATCAAGTGAGTAATACAGACGAAGTTGCGCGGATAGACTAGTTACAATATAAAACCTGAACAACCTGAAATTTCTGTAACTTTCAAACCAATAATCTGCTTTCGGAATTCGATTTGCTGGCATAATTCTCTAATCGGTTCATTCCTGCAATTCAAATTCAGATAAATCATTCAGCCACCCACCGATGAGTTCCGCATTAAATCATATTCAAAAAAACAAATTAAGATAAGACTAATCATTTTAGTATTCATAAATCACTCGAGCAAATCAAGTGGAATAATTACAGAAATAATTTATTGGGTAAAGATCCATTATTTTTTTTTATTCAGCGAGGCACAGAACGGAAGAACATTCAGCCAAGTTGATTGAAATTTTATGTTGCAAACTCTTTGCACATTTTTTTAAATATTTATCTTTATACCGATTTAGAAAGTTTTTGAATGTATTTTGTATTGTCCGTTGCGTAGTTTTAAATATTTAAGCATACGGATTCTGAAGCGGTTTTTTTTAAATAGATAGAGTGATTCAAGAGAAAGGTTTATATATATAATACATGTACACCTGTGCGAAGCTGGGGCGTGTAACTAGTATCAAATAAAATGCTGTTCCTGTTTGTAAAATGAAAATTGCAATTGTTCTATAGTTTAACTAGCTTTTGCCCCGCGTCTTCGCTCGCGTTAATTTATCCCCATAAGGGTGGAATTTATCAAATCCTTTCTATGGGGATGCCTACGTCATAGTAGCTTTATGCATGCAAAATCTCAGCACGATTGGTTTAAAATTTACAAAGTTTCATACAAACTTTTATCCCCTATTTTATCCCTTTGGGGGTAGAATTAATCAAAATTCTTTCTTAGCGGACGCCTACGTCATAACATCTACTTGTATGCCAAATTTCAGCCCGATACGTCCAGTGGTTTGGACTGTGCGTTGATAGATCACTATGTCAGTCAGTCACTTTTGAGTTATATATATTTAGATTGTGTTGTAGTACCCTAGTTATATATATATATTATTTTTTGTATATCTTCAGAAGAATGCTATCGGCATACGAACCGGGTCCATTTGCCTCCTTTTAAATTTCAAATTTAAAATATCTTTATTCATGTAGGTCTATTACAGACTCTTATGATATGTCAAATCTACCGTCGGAATGATTTCGAGATAAGAAGAACTGACAAGAAACTCAGCTCGTATTTTTTTTTAAATGTTGTACATATTTACAATAATACATTTCATTTAAATTCAAGTTTGGGAGAATAGAGTCACTAGTATATATTATATAAAAAAAAACAAAAAATCTAATCAGTGTTCGCAACCTGAACAGACCAGTCTCCACAAGCAGCACCCGTTCACGAGTATTACGGATGAGCCAGCCATCATTGCACTCAACCATATTAGAGGGAGCACATCGACCCGCCCCACCACGCCGCCACAAGTTTGAACTTTATAGCGAGCATGACTGTTTCAAGTTACTCCACTACGTCATTTATATTATTTACAGCATAAACTGTGCCAATCACAGTTTTCACCCATTACAATATTTAAATTACAATATGTCATTACTAAATTTACAATAAGTTTCTTTAGTGTTTATTACATTATCTATATTTATTTATTTATTTATTAAAGGAAAACCAAGGCTATTCAAGTACATCTTAAATAAAATCAATATATATGTCATAGTAAGCCACTGACAGGCTTTCACTAATAACAATAGACTAATTCTTAAAAAATTTACATCACTACGTATAAAGGCATTATAAAGTTAACAGAGAATATGAAAGTAATTACCAAGAGTACAGTAACAAATAGTAAATTTATAGAAATATATACATATATGATTTTCAATAATAATTAATTGTTATTTAAAGAAGGACTCACTTAGTTGGTGTCTCGTTGATTGAATATTATTACAAAATATATCTATATTAACTGTTTTAGATAGTTTATTAATATATGTCCTTTAAATGTGTTTTTTTCATGTAATTTAATTGGCAGCAATAATTTATTCTCATTCTATTGTTCACAGTGGAAGTAATATTCCTAATGTGGGGAATCCGGCTCTGCATCATGGTGAGGAAAGCACCGTCGGAATTCAACGAGAGTCGCTTCATATCAATGGCGATATACAATGAGTTTCTTCTATCCGTCTTCCTTAATATATCTATGTAAGTATAATACAGGTATTATTTGTTTGAAAAATGGTTGGTAGATATTGAAAGAGGAGGTTGTGTAGAAATATCGTAATTTTTTGAGGTTGAAGCTTAAATCTTATTTTTTTTGGCTATTGATTATATACAATTAACGAAAATGGGTTGTAAATGGGTCAAAAGGAGAGTTGAAATATTGTATGCAAGTATTGACATTTTTAAAGACAAAATTTGATACTTAATTTTTAGGCTATTGATTGAAATGTATAGAATTCTGTATGGAAATTTTCATTTTTGAAGCTAGAACAATGAAACTTTTTTATTGGGTTAGATTACTAAATATTTCTACATTATTTGGTCAAGGTCACTATTTTACGCAGACGAAGTCGCGGGTACAGCTAGTTAGTGTTATAAACGCGAAAGTTTTTTTTATACTACAATGCTGGTAATCAAGCATACGGCCCATATGATGGTAAATGGTTACCGTAGCCTATGAACGCCTGAAACATCAGCGGTATCACATGCGCGTTACCAAACCTTATTATACACTTCTTGAAAAACCCCATGCTGTACTCTCGTGGGAAAACCTCGGCAGGAAGTAGGAAGTTTATTCCACAATCTAAGTGTACGCGGGAGGAAGCTCCTCTGAAACCGCACTGTTCGGGACCACTTAGGTTCCAGCCTGTGGGGATGAATTCCCTGTCGATGGCGAGCGGTGCGATGGTAAAAGGTGGCCGTCGGCATCATGTCAAACAATTCTTCAGAACATTTTATGAGTATGGAAGGATGTTTGTTACTATTTCAGGCAGAAATTACTGAATGGATTTTGATGAAACTTTACTGCAATATAGCTTATGCATCAAAATAACATATAAGCTAGAAATTTCATACGAGTGAAACCGCGGTAACAGCTAATTCAAAATAAATTGTGCTGCAGTTGTCCATATCAGCTTGATTTAAATTGATACAACTCTCGTGTCCACAGTGTTAGTTGCCTTAATTCTCCGAAACGGCTTAACCGATTTTGATGAAATTTTATTGTAAATATACTCGGTAGGATGTTTATATTTTTTCCCCTAACAGAAATGGGTGGCTAATCTTAATATTCTTTTTATATTTTGGGCCAAATTTTTATTTTGCTACGATCTGGCATTAAAGACACATACACTCCTAAATTTTCACCTTATTTTTTAATAGTCATATTAAGTTAAATGGCAAAACAGCTTTTGCCAAATGAACTAGTATATCTTTAATATTTTGCTTGATTCTTGATCAAAGTTCCCACTTACATGCTTACTATTGTTTGCTCACAACTTGATATACCTTTTACGGCTAACTCTCATGAAACTCATAGATACTGTACAAAGTCAAATCAAACTTGGCCAATTTAAAACTTGCTTACAATGCATAGTGAAAAGGCTGAATGAGTTAATCTCTGGTTCCAACATGGCGCCAGATTTCAGTGTAGTTTACGAAACCCACGGGTCCAATTTCAATTTGCGTAATAGGATAAACTGGGATTAAGGATCGTCGTGAGATTGATATAATTATAGCCAAGATTCGAGTCGAGTTCGAGTCGCAAATAAAATGGGAATTGATTATAGATGGTATGTCTTCACGGGTACAGAGCCGCTTGAAAGTATACGAAGGTTGAAGGAGAAAAGAGACGACTATATACCAATTTGTAGTCATTACACTATTACCGTTTCATTTGAAAATAGAATAAAATTGTCTTGATTAAATTCCACCAAAATATAGTAAGAAAAAAAATAAAAATTTAAATTTCGAACAATTTCATTTCATATGATTGATGTTTTAAAAAACAAAGTAAAATTACATTAAGATATGTTTATCAAATGAATATAAAAAAATAAAAACATTACAGCTGGCCAGTACCATGCTTTAGTTTTTTTTTTGTAGTGACTTTTTCGAACAATCGTATTAAAATTATACTATATTTTACATAATGTTGTATTTATATACAAATACAAACTACCAAGCAAATTATCATGACATATTTAGAATTAAATTATAAAATAAAACTGTTAAAGTTCTATTTAATACTGGCAACCGCTACAAGTTTTTCCCCATTTTGCAACATTTTTTACCGTTGCTCCGCTTCTATTAATCATATCGTAACATAATATTTTATAGTTTTTCTCGATAAATGGACTATCCAAAACTAAAATAATTTATCAATTCTAACCACTAGTTTCTGAAATAGAGTGTTCCACCAAATAAATAAAGAAAGTTTTGCAATATTAAAATTCGAAATTACATAGTCCTAGCCTAATTCTATAGTAATTTTTTAGTTGACAACTAGTCAAAATAATTTTTATTTTTGTGGCTAAACAACAGCAGATAATGAAAAAATGAACATGACCTGTTTTGTGCAGAATATTTTTCTCTACAACTTTTATTTAAAACATTTTTTCATATTTCTTGCCGTTATCGATTTATTTTGAAAAAAGTCGATTTTCAACTTCTTTTTAAGTTTTCCATCCCTTTTTCGTCAACAAAAATTCTTTCAGAATATGTATTTGCGTACTTATTTTTATATATTGCGCCAAAACTGGTCACATCATGGTTTAATTTTAAATTTTACTGGACTGCCGTTCTGGTTTTGCATATACGTACATGTATTATACATATAAACCTTCCCCATGGGGGGGGGGGGAAAGGGGATTGATAGTAATGTGGACTGATGATCTTATTGCCAGCAATGCACCATGCCAGGTTGACCTCCACGCGGTTCCCCTTAAATCTTGGTTAATTTGTCACGATGGGCTAACTAACCTGACCACATCCTCCACTAGTGCCCCGCCAGCGTAAACCATTAGCGCAGACGGGTGCACCATTCCATTATCATCAATAAAAAAAAACTTCCCCATGAATCACTCTATCTTTTACTGAATACTGCATTAAAATCCGTTGCGTAGTTTAAAAGATCTAAGCGAAAAAACATCGGTAGCTTTTTTTTGATTTTATACTACATAAAGATGAAGTATCACAATTGGATTGTTCGATGATGAAGCAGTTGCTAAGTCAGAAATTTTATACTACATAAAGATGAGATCTTACAATTGGATAGTTCGATGATGAAGCAGTTGCTAAGTCAGAAATTTTATACTACATAAAGATGAAGTCTCACAATTGGATTGTTCGATGATGAAGCAGTTGCTAAGTTAGAACCGCTCCAGATTATAACTAAAGCACAGAGTAATTAGTGCAAGACGCTCGCATTTTCTCAGTTCCGTTTCAGACAAGTTTTCAAGTAAGTATGGAATGCTAGTCCCAAGTTGGGGAGTTAATTTCATGAACGCCGTACTGAAACTATGTGGCATGCGTCAGCCTAAAATGTGTTCTCGTAATTTAAGTTTCATTGGCGATTGCTATTTTTTTTTATAACTATACTTTGCTATTTTTTTTTATAACTATACATTGCTATTTTTTTTTATAACTATACATTGCTATTTTTTTTCCCAACTACGCTTTAGCACACCGCCATACTTTCTACAGTCGTGGATTCAATTCACGCACGCCTCGCACGGTACTAACTTTTGTATTCATGATTACGATTGTTTGTATCGGTCTGGTTGTTTTCTACGTATATTATAATAGTATGCATTTATAAAAATATGTGTTTCTATCAATTGTCTAACAGTATTCACTAATATCATAGGTACAAAAATATATATAACTATTTCAGTAAATCTTAACCATTACATAGTATAAAACAAAGTTGCTGTCGCTGTCTGTCCGTCCCTATATATACTTAAATCTTTAAAACTACGCAACGGATTTTGAAGCGGTTTTTAATAGATAGAGTGATTCAAGAGGAACGTTTATATATATAATACATGTACACCCGTGCGACGCCGGGGCGAGTAGCTAGTAATATTATAAACGCGAAATTTTGTATGGACGTTTATTACTTTTTCACACAAAAATTATTGAACGGATTTTGATGAAACTTTACAGTGATATAGCTTATGCATCAGAATAATATATAGGCTATATTTTTTATTGAAATTTAACGTGGATAAAACCACAGATAGTAATGGATATATTATTAATATCCTTTCATATGTCTACAATAATAAAATCAATAAGAAACCGGAATTATTTCGCTCTGTTGATATAATTATAATACAAAATTGCTTTTTCTGAATAGCCAGAATCAACAATACAAACCCAATAGTCACAATGATCGATAAATCCTATACACAGTTATAGGAAAACATGATCTTATTATGTACGGAGAATTTAATCCGAAAGAACATTATCGGAGAGAAATAAATTAATTTACTGCCACGACAAAGAGAGCCAATATACGATGCATTGTTGAAACTCCTCAGATCCCCCGTCCAATTCAAACGGGGATCGAGCCGAGGTTCGAACTAGCGATAGCCTCGGACTAAAGTCGTATCCGTACACTTGCCCCTTATCGTCCAGTGAAGGTGTAAAGGCCAGCTGCGGCCAACAGCATTAGAGTAGTCCGGAAAAAAATGTACTTCAGTTTATTGTGCACCACACTACGAGTAAGAAAAAAAATTACTCTGTGGCTGATAGATATGCCCATTTTTATTTATACACTATATTGCACCAAATACAGGAAGATCTCAATTAATATAGTGTATAAATAAAAATGAGTATTCAACTCGAGTACATTTTTTTTCCGGACTACTCTAATGCTGTTGGACGCAGCTGGCCTTTACAGCTTCACCGGACGACAGGGCAGATGGCACTCTAAACCCGCGGAAGGACTTATAAGAATATATATATATACAAGAGGCAACCACAGTAGGTATAAAAGGTGATCTTATCGCTAAACAATCTCTCACTTTCGCAGACAACCTTTAGGTAGGCGGATATGACATAAGAAAAAAGTTAGTACCATACATAAAAACACAATTATAAATATATGTACATCTACATAGTTATGTACATATCTGTATAGACATACATAAACATAATAATATACATTTCCATATTTTGATTTAATTGGATGATAAAAAACCACAGAAAATCAAAATATCTTTGAAGAGCTTTCGAGCTAAGAAGAACTTACAAGGAACGTCGCCACTAGTTTGAACTTTCAAGTTACGACAACTATTTCAAGAAATGTGCTAACTCGTAATAAACATAACTCGAGTTAACTCGAGTTGAAATTCAGGTAACTCGAGTTAACTTGAGTTGACTCGATTACCTGGAATAAACAGTTTTTTTGTTTTTTTTTATTTTCGAACAAATCTAATGTTTTTGGCTGCAGCTAGCCTTAAAAGCTTCACCGAACCATAGGGGACGAGTAGAAATAACACTTCAAAGCCACGGAAGGATTTATAGAACACATAATCATTGTAAAGATAACATAACCACACGAAATGCTTACGACATAGTAGCTTTATGCATGCAAAGTCTCAGCCCGATCGGTTTAAAATTGACAAAGCTTCATACAAATTTTCATCCCCTATTTTATACCTTGGGGGTAGTTTTAATCAAAATCCTTTCGTAGCGGATGCCTCCGTCATAATATCTACCGGCATGCCAAATTTCAGCCTGATCAGTCTAGTGGTTTGGGCTGTGCGTTGATAGATCACTATATCAGTCACCTTTGAGTTATATATATTTCGATTAACAAAAAAATTCACCTGACTCGCTTGAATTCGCTCTTTTAACATCTCTGTACAATTTACGACAACAACTACACAAAACGTGTCTATAAAATATTATAGTTTGTAAAATATATTCAACTGTAAGCCACTCCTTAATCGGGATAATATATCTTCATATCAGTTATCTAGTACCCGTAACACGAATTTTGTGATTTCGTAGTGCTGTTCATGTGTAGGAGCTACGGTTAGCTCTTTCCATCGTGTGGGCTACTTGTTTCAATCGAAAATTTATTCATGTTGCTGTTTTTTCCCTACACTGGGCCCTACACTATTTAAAATATCAGATTTTCTAACCAGTGTTTTTATTTCAGGTTATTTCTACAATCTCCAGCGAATCCAGATCTGCTCTACATAATTTTCTTCTGTCACACCCAGCTTACTGTGACGTTGCTTCTGTGTTTCATATTTGGGAGTAAGGTAATGATTTTTTCATTTATTCATTTATTCAACTTATGACCTATATCTATTTTATATGTAGGGAAAGAACTGTCTATGGTACAGCTGACGATAGTCCTAGTAGGACTATAAAAAATTGTATAGAAGATTGTATTTCTAGTTCTTTCATTTATATTTCAAATTCTGTCTTATCAATAGTTCTCCCAAGATCTCCATACTCCAAGTATTTTTTTATAGTTTTAGTTTTTACCTATATATACATATAAAATAAAACTACATCAAGTATGATTGTTTACACCGGTCTGTATATATTCTACGTATATGTTATATTTATTTTATTTTATTTTATTTATAAAAACTTAATGCTAAATACAAAAAAAAATAAAGGTGCAGATGGCAGACTTAACACCATAAGGCATTTTGTCCCAGTCGACCATAGGGTAAACAGAGATTAGTGGGCGATGAATTTAAGTAAATAATAATGTGGCATACTTATACACATATTAATACTAAACATACATACATATGTATATTACACTACATAAAATACTTTTAATAGCAATAATATATTTTATAGCATAGCTCTCTAGCGCATTGCATTGCGCTGGAGTCCCGCCGGCCGAGGCAGATTAATGTAAACAAATCAAATTTCAAATGTAAACAATACGACCTCAGCGACTAGTAAGTTAGTCGGTTACAAAAGTTACACGAAGCTCACGTCTTTCGATATAAGCTCCTTGTTCTCTACATCTGCTTACGCGCCCGTGTTAAAACCATATCATTCTGGACTTTTCATTTTTCCATATTGTCGACCTCCTTCTGTTTATTAATAAATAAGTGTATTGTGCCTAAACACCAGGCGCACCCCACAAATAACATGAAATAAATAATAAAAGGAAGTAGGTACAATTATAATTAAATTCATAAATTGAAATATATATATCCTAATACATTAATATTTTAATAAGAATATATATATATATACATTTAAGCACATAATAATATACGTATAAAATTTATACAGACATACTAAATACAAATCAACAATCAGTAGACCAGTGAAAGCAGGAGATAATTTAACACTATATTAATGTTTCAATTTAATTACAAAAGTCGTGTGTGTGTACAGAAAAAAATCTAAGTATTTATATCAGTGGTTCAGTACCCACGACTTTTCTCCGGATCAGATGGCGCTGTGTTAATTGTCCATGGTTATTTATTTACTCATATACTTTTAGTATTCTCCGTTTTAATGTTTCAATTTAATTACAAAAGTCGTGTGTGTGTACAGAAAAAAATCTAAGTATTCATATCAGTGGTTCAGTACCCACAACTTATCTCGGGATCAGATGGCGCTGTGTTAATTGTCCAGGGTTATTTATTTACTCATATACTTTTTATTATTCTCCGTTTGATGGAGTGATATTGGTCTTTCTCAAAATTATTATTATTATTTTTGACATAATCATTATTCTCATCATACTTCATGACAATATTTGTGACATTTAACTACGCTTTATAGCAGAGGTTCCCAAACTTTTTTGAGACCCCTTGCCATATTTTTCGGTTTTGGGTTGACCCCCATTCTTACCTGTTATTTTTTATTTTTTGTAAATTTCTGACTGTAGTAAATTTTAGTGATAAAAACATAAAGTAAAAACAACAAGGTTCTAACTTTTTTGTGTCGTAGACCCCAACAGTACAGAACCCGTACAGTCAGAAATTTACAAAAAATGAAAAAACTAGGTATATTTCTGACAGTACCCCGTACAGTCAGAAATTTACAAAAAAATAATGGGGATCTACCCAAAACCGAAAAATATGGCAATTTTTCGGTTTTGGGTAGATCCCCATTCTTACCTAGTTTTTTTATTTTTTGTAAATTTCTGACTGTAGTAAATTTTAGTGATAAAAACATAAAGTAAAAACAACAAGATGACTGCTGTCGTAGACCCATTGCAGTTTGTCATAGACCCTTGGGGGTCGATATAGACCACTTTGGGAATCACTGCTTTATAGCGTTGTATGAATTGTCTTGACATATTACATTATTATATTACCTTTCTCAAAAGACTCAGTCCTAATATATTAAGTGTTAAACTCCAAACGCTAAATAAGGGTAGTTTCAATATACGTAAACTTCCATTACATTGTCAGCTTATAGCTTCATAAACTGTATGACGCAATATATTTACGGTCCGGACCCCAGATTGATATACTGAAATACTATTCTCGTATGTATTTCCACACAAGCCTGATGGACTAATCGTATACCATTCCTAATAATTAATCATTAACCTTTATTTATTTTAGGTAATCAACAGCTTATACAATTTATAGACAATATATAGTGTTACATAGTAAAGTCAATAATAGATACCTCATGAATTTACCTTTAGGTAATCTAGAATAGTATATCGTAATCTAGTAGTAATATAAAATCTAATAGTAATCTAGGTAGGTAATCTACAATATTGATGTGAACTCTAATAATACAGATAACTTTTAAGTATTATATTGTTCTTTATCTTTAGATAATATTAAAGTTATAATGAAATTGGTTTTTAAAAACAATACAGATTAAGCATTTAAAGAGATCAGAGCCAAAGAACAGGATAGGTGAATACAATTAGTGAATTACGTTACAGTATAATACTTAAAAGTCATCTATATTGTTAGAGTTCACATCAATATTGTAGAAAAAATCCGATATTTTAAAAAGATATTGAAAGAAGGTAGTTCGTGTTTAGTACTAATGAAGTAGAAGATTATTACAAATATTGTAAATAGCGCCATCTAGTATTCATATACCGACCTACTACACTGACTTCGGTCTATAAATACGGAGGTCGGTAGTTGAATAATCCTCTTTCGTTGCGTGAGCCGCGGCATTCAGTCGACGAGCGCAGAGCGTGCCAGTTGTGTTTTGGATATTATAGTGAATTGTATTAGAAATGGGTTTGTTCCGGTCTTAGTTGGGCCTGGGGGGAAACTGCAAGTAGTGAAGGTGAGTGTTAATGCATTTTAAAAGGGCCTTTTAAACCTACACCCCTATCACAAGTCATGGGCGCTACATGGGGTTTCCCTTGCGGTAGCCGGCTTCAAAACCTAAGTCCTCGTCATTAATTAGTGCTTCTTACAATATGTACGTACCTACATATAAAAATGTGTTTCTGTGTCAGTTAAAAAATGTTATCATGACATTCCTAAGTACTTGCTACAAAAATTTGTCACTTGTAGGTAGAAAACTTTACGGACGTTCAATTGAAGGGTTTTTCACGTTCCCTACTGAACATAAGTTCTGGACATGTTTTTTAAAAAGTGATTTTTTGAAACGAAAAAGGTCTAAATCCGAAAAGCAGTTATTTTATATGTAACTTAATCTAGTATATATATATTTATATATCAATCAACTATATATGTATAACAGAATTGAAATGTTTCAAATTCAAATTAAAACATCATTTATTCATGTAAGACATTTTAGCCGCTTATGGACGTCAATTTTTTTCCTACCGTCTGTTTGTAACATCAAATTAACAGTTTTTCACTAAATATAAAAGAATATATAATTTATTTCTTTGTCTGCTTGTTTGTTATTGCAACTGTCTTTAATGCTGAATTTTATTTATTGTAAATAAAAAAAGCAAGGTTCGAGGAATCGAAACCGCAACCATCGGAAGTAAAGCGGTGCGCTAAACTGCTAAACCACCGAGGCCGTCAAATAATAAACCAGAAATTCTAAAGGTCTAAATCCTAAACATACATATTAATATTATAACAATGTATACCACAAAATGTAGCAACACCAAAACTGCGGCCGTCGTAAACACAACCATAGATAACGTAACACTCCACAGTACCGATTCCCAGGATGGTACAGTCGCCAGAATTCAGGTCCAGATGTACAGGTTATTTCTAGATAAGACGGTCATGAATAATTTAGAATTCGTGCCGTGAGAGGTAAACATCGTTTGTATCCTTCTACTATATTCCCAAATGTACATGTAATAAATTACATGTAGACAAAGTAGTAAGAGAAATATTTTATATATATATTTCAATATAGAATCCTGTTTATATAATATTTGTTTCTATAATACATTTATATAATAACTAGCTGTACCCGCGACTTCGTCCGCGAAAATAGTGACCTTGACCAAATAATGAAAAAAATATTTAATAACCTAACCCAATAAAAGCCAAATGAAAAAGTTTCATCGTGTCATCTTCAAAAACGATGACACTTCCATACATAACTCTTTCAACCCCTTATAACCCTCCTATAGCATTCAAAACTAGCCTATGTCCTTTCTCAGGGTCTAGACTAACTGTGTAGCAAATTTCATTTAAATCGGTTCAGTAGTTCTAGCGTGTAAGTGAGTCTGACAGACAGACAGAATTACTTTTACAATTATAATATTAGTAAGATATTTAATAAACTAACTCAAAAAGCCAATGAAAAAATTTAATAAATCTGGTTTCAGAAATGACGATATTACCTAATATCTTTCATCCCCTAATTTATTTTTATCCCCTTAAGGGTATTTTTTTACAAACTTTGAATGTCATATTCTATTATATTTAATCATCAGCCTCAAGAATAATTTTCAAGTTTCTAGCTTCAAAAATGACAAATTCACATAAAAATATTCATCCCCTATTTTATTTTCCCTCTTAAGGGTAACATTTTCTAAACTTTGATGACCTATTTATTTGTATTTAATCAACAGCCTCAAAAATAAGTTTCAAGCTTCTAGCTTCAAATATGACGATTCTTCCATACAATCTTTCATCCCCAATTTCAACCCCTTACACCCCTTTTTCGCATTAAAAAGTAGCCTATGTACTTTCTCAGGGTCTAGACTATCTGTGTACCAAATTTCATTTAAATCGGTTCAGTAGTTTTGGCGTGAACTGTATGTGATATTAGTAAGGATAATGATAAGTCTATCACCCTATCAAAGGGTATAATATATATATGCTATATATAAATAATAATATATCAGAACAATTCACACAGCGCAATCTAGTTTGTATATGTATCATACATATATATTGACTTTTAACATACATATATTGACAATAATAGTAATTTGTTTTTAACAGGCTTACATGGTATATAAAGGACATGGCAAAGACGATCGGGAAAAAACAGGAAAGTTTAGATCCAGAGCTGCTGAATCAACATACACCATGACGACCAATAGAAGTACACGATTCTGTGATAATATGACAGAAAGAGAACTGGAGGTAAGGGTTTAAAATAGTCTATATATTAAAATTAGAATCCATTTATGATTATTATTAAAGTATAAGTTTGTGCCTAAAAGTAAAAAAAGGTTAAAGGTAACAAAAAACAATAATTGTAAAAATAATTTCTATTAAGTCGTATCTAGTTGCGTACTAATTCCATTATAGACTTAAAACTAATGGAAAAATAATTAATAATACAATTATTATCATTCCCTTCTAAAGGAGGAGTTCAGGAAAATCTGTAACCAGCTCGAAAAGCTACGGGAGCGATGCGGAACATACGCCGTAGTTGCTCGTCGTATCACAGCCATGCAAGACGCATCAGCTTTGCATGACCGTAAACCACCAACATCTGATCACTCGGCTCCGCTGAAACTAAACACAGTTTTCAGTGCAGTCGCCGATCGCCTTATGTGTACAGTAACACCTGCTGAAGAATCCAGCAGTAGTGGGAGAGACTTACCTTTCGAAGCTCCCCCCGCCTATAGACATAAGACATTTAGTCCAACTAAAAGTGTAGAAGCCAGTAATACAGAACAAAGTCAAACAGACGTGACAACTGACTCACCTAAACGAAGGACAGAACTCAATGAAGAAACTAAAGAAGAAAAACAAAATGGTGTATTTAAAATATCAGGTGAAGCAAATTGTAGTGACATTCGACCGCCGGAAGTGGCTAGACAAAACAGTTTTAACAATAAAAGTGATAAACAAAGTGAATTGAAATCTAGTCCAGGTAGTACAGAAACAGTGAGAGGTGTTAGATCAGGCCATGCAAGAACTCACGCAATAGTTATAAACTTAGACGATAAGAGTCGCTTCACTGAAGAGGTCACTGTTTAATGTGTACATAATTTTGAAGACTGTACTTGTACTTTTGATTCCATAATACTATTCCTAAAAGTTATACCTGAATATAGTTTTTGTAATTTAATATCATCTCAAGATGTTGCACTGGTTATAATGTTGGCAATGCGAGGATAATGTTTGAAGTTAATCTTGAGATTATATTAATGCAGAGAAAATTATAAATAGGTAATTCCAAATTTAATAGGTTAGTTTTGTATTTATGAATGCTAGTCTTTAACTGTGATTCATAGTTATTTAACAATTTATTATTACATTACCAATATATAGGTAAAGTTTATAGTTTTGAAAATGCATATCAATATGTAACATCCTTTGAATGTAAAATTGATGAACGAAAGTTGTGAATGAGAAATAACACAAACTTTAATAATACTATTCATAGCTCGCTAGTTTGTCCAACAACTTGTTACCTTTATCTGGGATCACTTTGGAACTTTGCTCTGTTTTATTAGTCTTGTATATCAAGGAGACAGCGTAACTTACTTAAGCGATAGCGAGGTTAAATCATAAATACTCACGTAAATAGATATGGAAACTTAAATAATTTCACTGCCATACTACAAGGAATAAGTAAAAACTTTTAATATATCACTAAAATATAATGTGCAGATATGTATCTTATTGGAAATAAAATGTATAGTTTATAGCAAAGTCTCTGCTTTATCCAAATACTTCTACTAAATTACGCAACGGATTTTGAGACGATTTAGACTATAATTTTGTAAATTCCTTTAAAAGGTTATATATATTTCATGCTCATACGAGTTCCGTCTGATACACCATGAGAAGCCGAGGTGTATAACAGTATAAATTAAAGACAATATTATGTTATTTAAAAATGTCTAATTTCTAATTAAAGATCTCATTTGATTTATTAGTAGTTAATACTAAAAAGAAATAGATATCTGATATTGTGTACTCAGAATTTTCAGATGTCTAAATGTTATGCAGATGAGATTCAAAGTTTGTGCCCTAGGCATTTTTTGAGCACAGCTCAATCTCGTGATTACCATTTTGTATTTGGTGCATGCGTGGTTATATAATATGAAGATGGTGTCTCTTTTAGCGATTGTATCATGTATAGCTTCACGGCAGCTGTTTAATTCTGATGGTTGCGGGTTCAATTTGTATTCATGAGTATGATTGTTTATATATATGTCTGAGTATTTTCTATGTTTAATATGTATGTATTTACAAAAAAAATTCCGTGTTTTTCTACCAGTTGCCTAGTACCCATAAAATAGACGGCTTAGCTTAGCTCTGCCAAATTTTATCTCTTATTTCACCCGCTTCCAGAATATTGTTTGAGATAAATGTTAGTCTATGACCATTATATCATACAATGTATGTTCATGTACACTGTCATTCCGTTCAGCTTTTTTGTCGCAAAAATGTGAGCCAAATATTATTCAAATATATAATATAAGGTCAATTGTAATAGCAATACAATGCTAGACCAAAAATGGCAGTACAGTCATGAAACTGAAGCAATAAAGTAGAAAATCTAAATACAGCGTTCATATAAACTGCGCAAGCATGATCAATTTTATATGAAGATTTCTACAATAAAATAGAAATATTCTTTATTCAAATAAACTTAATATAGGTACGTTTGAATAGTCATATAACATTTTATTGATACCATTACTAATTCAAAAGCTGAGTTATCATAAGAAAAACGAGTATGAATTTGAACTAGTTATAAACTTAAAAACAAAGTCGCTATCGCTGTCTGTCCCTTTATGCTTAAATCTTCAAAACTAAGCAACAGATTTTGAAGCGATTTTTTTTAATAGAATGTTGGTCAACATTACCTAGATTATTATAGATTTTGCTGCAATATTCGCAGCAAAAAAAGTCATCACACATTGTTGCACCACAAATTTTTGCATCCTGTTGCTTTTCTCTTTTCTTTTTTTTACTTTCTTGTTGTATCTAAATAATTCAGTGTGATGTTCTAATTGGCTGACGTATTGTTATGTAACCTTCAAGACAATAGTTTTTGTTTATAAACTTTTTAGTGATCTTTAAGATTATCGTTGAAGTATTATTTATTAGTAGTAAATGATGTAACTAGATGTACTAATAGATCAGTATTATTTATATACTATTTAATAACCACGTCTGCACCAATTTTAAGATTACGCTTAATATTGCTAATTTAGCTATTTTCTATGCGTGATCTATTATATAATTCCTATGGCTATTTGTAATGTAAATTAACCAGCCACAATGAAAGACAATTAGTGAATATATTTTTGTAAATAATATTTTTAAGAGATGCAAGTAAATATATGTAAATGTTTTATTATAAGTGCATCTTTTCCGTTAAGTGTGCCATATTTTCTAGCAATAAATTATTCAGAGTGAAGATAAAGTTGTAAAGAAATGTTCGGACTGTACTTTTATTATAGGGAATGTCTAGATTCATTGATATTTATAATAATAAGGTGCTTTGATGTTTCTATTTTCTGTGCTCCTTTAAATCTTGCTTTCAATCGGATTCTCTTTTTATATGGAAAGATTAAAAGAAAATCAAGGTCTGTAGATAATAAGCTTCCTCGTCTTCCTACTTATTTCGAACGTTATATAAAATTTCATTTTTACCATGTATTTTAACATATCTTGTTGACTTGCCATTTTTTTAAGTAATGAATTCACGAAAATTTATATTTCTCTGTGTTAATAGTTTCAGTTGTCGTAATAAATTCATAGTCTTGCCATTTGTTGTTTAGTTTAATTTAACATATTGAAATATAAATCTTCCTGATATTCAGCCAACAGTTGTATTTTTTTCAACAATAACATTTATTTTTTTAATGTGTTCAAATTCATATTCAAGCCACTTAAGAACGTAAAATTTTCTATATTATAATTGTTTCTCTACCGTCCAGTTCAGTATATAGATCCAATTGAGAAGAACTGGCAAGAAACTCAATTGATTTACTTTTTTTTTTAAATGTACAATGCGTATTTGTATAGGTGTCTATGTCTAACATTAAATGATATTAAAAGATATATTGTTCATAGTCATTCAAGATTCAGTCGTAAGTAATTCGATCGTTTTATACATTTTTTTCTGTATATATGCTATACAATTTCAGTCATGCTTCAGGGTAGGGAATGGGTCATGGCCACGCGCGGTCTTCGGTCGGTCGAAGGGTATTATCTTGGGGAAACTATTTTACACGCTGGCCGCTGCCGGCGAGCTTTCGTGACTTGAGCCTAGTCGTGTTTAATTGCTGGTAAAATTGTAACTATTGCAGTAAAGAATTTAGTAAAGTATACTGTTATTTCTTTCCGTGAAAATTGATACAATTTGATTACACAAAAATAGTTGAAAATTCATGTCAATGAATTAGCTTTCTGCATTGCAAAATATGAACAGTTTTTCCCACAGACGCTTGCTAAATTGGAAAATTTCAAAATTTTTTTAAACTTTAATTATAAATTACGCATTCTAGTGATCAATTAAAAATTTATTTTCAGAGTTCTAGTTTTTCACGAAAGTGATAAGTTTTATGAGTATTCTACTATGATGTTTACAAATACCCTTGAACATGCTCCACTATGTAGTAAGGGTGTTACATTTTTTTATATATCACGTAATACTTTTAGGTTTACATTTAAAGTCAGTACTATTACCTTATTCTGGTATGTTGCCGAATTGATCGAGGCATAGTTGATGTGCAATATAAGTATGGGTTGTAACTACTCAATTTTATATTAACAATAAAAGAATCCGAAAGGGTATATGTCTATTACACTTGTATCACACTAACCATTTCATATTAGTCAATAAAAACATTTAAATCGATATTCAACTAAATAATTTCAGAATCAACTTAATTACATGCTTGTAAATTGCTCTTTTAATAATATATTGTTTCATTTAGGCTACTGATATACAGTCAGTAGTCTCTGGTTTTCCGAATGTGACTATTAACACTACTCATTTCTGTAGAGGCGTAGCGACTATACGTACTAATCGGAGTTCGTCGGAACGTAAGTCGCATTCTGCAAACCTGACGATTGACTGGCTGTATATAAGCAGCCTTAAAAATTGCAATGACTTATCGTTCTATGTATGAAAATCGGAGCATATTGTAATTCGATATTTCTGGAGTGCAATGACTAAAATCAAAGATATTCTATGTACTTTATACTTGAGATTAATGTAAATATAAATATTGTATAATAAATATGAAACTTGTTGAAATTATCTATATTATACTAGAATTTATTAACACTGTATAATATCATGTTTTGTATATATAAATATAACAAATTTAAATATGATGCTTCAAGTTAAATAATATAAGTTGCAATAATATAGTACATAAGGCATCGTGATTGAGTTTCTATTGCGTAAGAAATTGTAATGTCGTCGATATAAAACATGTTGACTATCTAAATAAACAAGTTGACAAAACAATATTTTTTTATTACATTTACATAATACATTAATACAAACAGTCACAAAAAAACAACCGTTGTAATGCAACGCGGTACATCGAGGCAGCGCACCCAAGATACTGGCAGCGTTGCCTCTTTGAATGGCCATACTTAGCCTTTGGGCAAAATAGCTACCAGCTCTCGGGTCACAAGTAACCTCGAGGAGCCGCGCTGAAATATATGTTAAAAACAATTTGGCTTCCGGGCTCCATGGGCCCAACATCTCCACGGCAAATGGTAATATATTTTTATATATTTTCATCACACATTGGATTCTAGACCTAACTAGAATATCTACCCTTGGTAGACTACCGAGCATTCTACTTATGCTATAGAATCTATAACACAAACTCTTAGATTGGGACTAGATGACACTATGTGGACGTGTGTGGACGTCGCATCTGTCTTGGGTTATAATAGAATTAAGAATAGAAAATTCAAATAAACTTAATTTAAGCACTTTTGAATAGTCATATTTATTTTTCTTTTAATCTACAGCTCATTCAGAAAGCTGTCTTATTACAAGAAGAACGAGATAGA